TGTGGGAAGGACATGAGCCCTTCTTAACGTTCCCACATTGCCCTCAGGATGACACACATCACCCCATCTACCCAAATTCCATTGGCAATCACCAGTCATAGGACCTCACCTAAAGTCAAGGGGCTAGGAAATGGAGCCTCTGCTCAGTGGCTGCTCTGTAGCAGCTCTTCACTGTGGAAGAAAAGCATGAATCCCTGAGGACCTATAGCAGCTCCATAGCAAATACTTACTATGAACCAATTGTGTACTCAACTTTATGCCAAGTGCTATTAAGCAGCCCAAAAAAGTGATATTGTTCTTGTCCATGTGCAGCTTGACATGGAAAAGGGGATTGGTGACCCCAAGGATGAGGAGGCAAGGCCCACTTTTTCTGGAAAGTCTTCTTTCCTCCCAGACCTCTTCCTCTGTGTTTCCACAGTAACTGGTGATAAATCCTCTTGTAGCACTCATTGCAGTTCATTGAAGCTTTCCATTTTCTTGTCTGACTCTCCAACTGAATGACAATATTTTTAAGGTTGCAAATTCAGTTGTCTTATTGACCAGCATGTAACCCCAGTGCCCAGCACAGAGCCTGCCACATCTGAGATGTGCAGTGAATCCACGAATGAATAAATGACTGAGTGAGAAGGTGAGATGCAATGTGGCACCATGCATGGAACGTGTGCTTCGGCATTACTCAAACCTTCTCATGACTGGGACTTCACAAAAGTTACTGAACTTCTCTGAACCTCAGTTGCTCAGAAAAATACCAAATTGCAGGGTTGCCATGAGGATTCTCTGAGATTATGAATGTATATATAGCATCTGTCCCTGTGATAGGCACATAGTAAATTTGATAAAAATGATATTTGTAGGCCGGGCGTGGTGGCTCACGCCTGTAATCCAGCACTTTGGGGGGCCGAGGCGGGTGGATCACGAGGTCAAGAGATCGAGACCATCCTGGTCAACATGGTGAAACCCCGTCTCTACTAAAAATACAAAAAATTAGCTGGGCATGGTGGCACGTGCCTGTAATCCCAGCTACTCAGGAGGCTGAGGCAGGAGAATTGTCTGAACCCAGGAGGCAGAGGTTGCAGTGAGCCAAGATCGCGCCATTGCACTCCAGCCTAGGTAACAAGAGCGAAACTCCATCTAAAAAAAAAAAAATGATGTTTGTAATTAACCTAAATTATAGCCAATGGGAAACCAATTTCAGCTTCTAGGTATATTCTTTTTTTTTTTTTTTATTGTACTTTAAGTTCTGGGGCACATGTGCAGATCTTGCAGGATTGTTGCATAGATACACACATGCCATGGTGGTTTGCTGTCTCCATCCCCCAATCAGCTACATCAGGCATGTCTCCCAATATTATCCCTCCCCAACCTCCCCACCTCCCACTGTCCCTCCTCTAGCCCCCCAGCCCCCAACAGACCCCAGTATATGACATTCCCCTCCCTGTGCCCTTGTGTTCTCATTCTTCAATACCCGCCTATGAGTGAGAAATTGCAGTGTTTGGTTTTCTGTTCTTGTGGCAATTTGCTGAGAATTATGGTTTCCAGATTCATCTGTGAACTCATCCTTTTTTATGGCTGCATGGTATTCTCTGGTGTATATGTACCAGATTTTCTTTGTTCAGTCTCTCACTGATGGGCATTTGGGTTGGTTCCAGGTCTTTGCCATTGTAAACAGTGCCACAATGAACATAACGTGTGCATGTGTCTTTATAATAGAATGATTTATAATCCTATGGGTATATACACAGTAATGGGATTGCTGGGTAAAATGGAATTTCTATTTCTAGATCCTTAAGGAATTGCCACACTGTCTTCCACAATGGCTGAACTAATTTATACTCCCACCAACAGTGTAAAATGTTCCTATTTCTCCACATCCTCTCCAGCATCTGTTGTCTCCAGATTTTTTAATGATTGCCATATCAGACAGAGACAATGAAAAATAAGATCTTAGGCTGTGTCCTGGATATAAGTTCACTCTTTCTTCAAGAGCTGTAGTCTCCAGGTAAACCATTGTTAAATCTATTATACATGTCACCTCTAGTGGTGCTACCTGGCCTTCAATGATGATTTTGTAATTAACGCACACATGCACAGACACACAGGCACACAGTGATACCAAACACTTCCTCTCATACACTATTCCTGATTGATCTATTTTCTATTTCTTAACTATCTGAGCCTCTAATTTTTTTAGTTTTCTTTAAAGCCACAGAAAGCTTTTTTTTTTTTTCTAAACTCTATGCTAGGGAATCCCAAGTGTGAAAGCTCTTCCCTGGTTGATGGGGGGTCCCCACCTGCTCAGCCTCCCCCTAGCTCCCTGATGTTGCCCTGACTGCCATCAGAGAACTCAAGACTACAAGGAGCGCAGTTTGAAAACCACAGGTGAAGCAGTAATAGGAACTTGGCAATGAAGTTAGAGTCTAGTTCAGTAGACAGCCTCATGGATAAGGAAAAACCAGCAACCCCCAAAGCCTAAAAGTAAATCCTTGTGAAAGGGTGTGGTGGGGAGTCTTCAGGAAAACTTTGCTGATCGTAAATGCCCCAGGGCGCCAATGTCATGTTTGGCATCTGACTTCACAGCGTCTGTACCAGCCCAGCATCTCTTGCATTGTTCTCAGTGAGGACATCTCATGCGGGGCTCACCCTGCCCTGGATTTCTCAGTCTTTGACCTCCTTATCTCCAGCAATCTTTTCATCTACTTGGCCTCAGTCACACACTCCCTTTGACACTTTACCTTGTCATCACCAAAAAACTGCCTCCGCTCCATCTTTCCTACTTGCTGGTCCTTGAAAATACCTTGTCTCTTCTTTCTGTCACACTCACCAAATAAAACTCCAACTCCGATAACCCATCCATCCTTTCTGTCCTTTAAACTCATTCAGATGAACCTGACTGAGGAAAATCTCACAGCAAAGCAGAGAGAACTGTAACTCAACACGACCTCCAATGCCACACTGTAACGTAGACCACTGGCTTCTCCCTTCCTAAAAATGAGTTCACAACTCCTCACTCTTCACACCTCTATGCTTTCTTCCTGTCTTCCAACTCAGCTCACTCTTAGTGACCTTGGCTCATTCCACTGAGAATGTAGAAGCCACCTTCTCATGTCTACAAGACAAGTGCTCCCTCGTTCACCTGTCCAAAGTGCCACACACCTGTTTCCACCTCTTCCTTCCATCCTACCCCTGTGAGGATGTGCTCATATGGCTCTTAAAACCAATCTCCGTGGCACCCTTCTCAGGGATTTTTCCCTTCATTATCGTTATTCCTGGGGCTTCAACCTGTTTGTTTTTGAAACAGGGTCTCACTCTATCACCCAGGCTGGAGTGCAGTGGCAGGATCACAGCTCACTGTAGCCTCGATTCCCCCAGCCCAAGTGATCCTCCCACGTCAGCCTCCCAAGTAGCTGGGACCCCAGGCATGTACCACCATGCCCTTTTTTTTTTTTTTTTTTTTTTTTTGGTAGAGGCAGGATCTCCCTATCCTGCCGAGGCTGGTCTCAAAATCCTAGGCTCAAGTAATCCTCCCGCCTCAACCTCACAAAGAGCTGGGATTACAGGCATGAGCCATGTGCCTGGCTTCAACTTCTAGATTCTCCATGGGGTCATTCCTATCATCCTATGGATATGTTCTGGAATCTCTCATCAAGCAAACAGAAATAAAACTCTCCAGACTCCACCTCCCTCATATGTAGCTCCGGCTGGCTCTTCTGAGTGCCAGACATTTATCTCTGTGTGCCTTGGTGCCGTCTCCACTAGGATGTGCAGAGGTACATCAAACTTAGTATGTCCAAATTAGACTTCTCGATTTTCTTCTCCATACCTGTTCTACCTACAGTTTTTCCCATTTCAGGAAACACCAACCTGTGGCTCAGGCAAACATCCCAGGAGTCATTCTCGATTCCTGGGCTTCTCACTGTTCTCCTGTCTTCCTTCATTCAGTTCTTCACATAGCAAAGAAAGCATTCTTTTTGTTTTCTTTTGCGTTAAATGTGGAAGAAGAGAACTCCTTGTCTATTTCCTGATCCTACAAGAAAAGCATTGTCTTTCACCCTTGAGGATGGTGTTAACCGGAGACTTTTCCTAGATGTGCCTTATGAGGCTGAAAAGAGTCCATTCTGTGCCTTGTTTGTTGAGTGTTTTTATCATGCAAAGATGTTGAATTTTGCCAACTATTTTTTTCTGTGTCTATTGAGACAGTCCTGTGGTTTTTGTCCTTTACTCTGTTGATGTGGGGTATTACATTAGCTGATTTTCACATTATACTGGACTTTTTATATATTGCTCTGTCCAGTTTTTTGTTTTTGTTTTTTTGAGATGGAGTTTCACTCGTTTTTGTCCAGGCCAAACTACAGTGGTGTGATCTCGGTTCACTGCAACCTCTGCCTCCCAGGTTCAAGTGATTCTCCTGCCTCAGCTTCCCTAGCAGCTGGGATTAGAGGTGCATGCCACCATGCTCAGCTAATTTTTGTATTTTTAATAGGCATCGGGTTTCACCATGTTGGCTAGCCTGGTCTCAAACTTCTGACCACAGGTGATCCGCCTGCCACGGCCTCGCAAAGTGCTGGGATTACAGGCATGAGCCACTGCGCCCGGTCTCTGTCCAGTTTTCTAAGTGTTTTGTTCAGGGGTTTGCATTCCAAAGTGTTCCTTCTGAACAAATGAGATGACATCACTTCTCTGCTTTAAAGCTCTTCCGTGGATTCCCGCCGTACTCCAGAGGTCCCCTTCGGAATTTGGCCCAAGCTGCCCTCCCTGGGGCCTTTGTGCAATGTCACCCCTTTGCTCTGTTCCCAGTCCAAATCCTTCCCTATCGCACTTCCCTGCTCTCTCACTGGCTTCTCCCGGAAACAGTTTCTAGTAAGTCCCCTCCATGCAAATCCTCTTCTCAGGCGCCACTTGTGCAGATCAACCACTATGCAGGAGAAGCATCTCTGGTCCCCTCAGAGCTCCCGCACCCCCAGCCTCCTCGCCCTAACTGGGCTCTGATGATTTTCCTGCAGGTGATTTATGCCCTGAACACCCGCCAGGATGAGGCGGAGGCCAGCATGGAGGCGCTACGGGAGGCGCACCAGGAGGAGCTCCAGAATGCCATGGCAGAGACCAAGGCCAGGGTCCTGCAGGAACAGGGCTGCGTGGAGGAGGAGGCCCTTCTCCAACGCATCCAGGCCCTGGAGAGCGCCCTGGAGCTGCAGAAGAGGCTGACACAGGAGGCTCTGGCTGAGTCGGCCTCGTGCAGGCTGGAGACCAAGGAGAGAGAGCTGAGAGTGGAGGCAGAGCACGCCGAGCGGGTCCTCACGCTCTCCAGGGAAATGTTGGAGCTCAAGGCTGACTACGAGAAGAGGCTCCAGCACCTGACGAGCCACGAGGCTCCCCTGAGGGGCCGGCTGCCCCAGGAGAGCCCTGACACGAAGTCAGAACCAGGCCAGGGCCCGGAGATGCAGGAGGTCCTGCTAGAGGTGCAGCGGCTGCGAGTGGAGAACCAGCAGCTGAGCAAGGACTACGCGCGCAAGGCCGAGGAGCTGCAGGCCACCTACGAGCGGGAAAACGAGGCCATCCGGCAGGCCATGCAGCAGTCGGTGAGCCAGGCCCTGTGGCAGTGGCAGGAGAAGGAGTCGGACCTCCGCAAGAACTTCCAGGTCCAGGAGTCCGCCCTGCAGGCTCAGGTCCGGAAGCTGGAAGGAGACCTGGAGCACAGAGGCCGCAAGATCAGTGACCTGAAGAAGTACGCCCAGAAGCTGAAGGAGAGGATTCAGGTAAAGCAGTATCTCTTCATACAACCTCACAGGGATAATCAGTAGGGGTGCATATTGTGAACCTGCTATAGGTCGGGCACTGTGCCAAGCACTTGCCTTCTATGGAGGTGAGCCCTATTACCTCCATTGAATTCAACTACATTCATTCCACAAATATTTATTTATTTATTTATTTATTTATTTGCTTGCTTGCTTTTTTATTTTTGAGATGGAGCCTCACTCCCTCACCCAGGCAGGAGTGCAGTGGCATGATCTCAGTTCACTGCAACCTCCACCTCACAGGTTCAAGCAGTTCTCCTGCCTCAGCCTCCCTAATAGCTGGGAATACAGGCACTCACCACCACATCTAGCTAATTTTTGTATTTTCAGTAGAGGCAGGGTCTCACCATGTTGGCCAGGATAGTCTTGAACTCCTGACGTCAGGTGATCTGCCCGCCTCAGCCTCCCAAAGTGCTGGGATTACAGACTTGAGCCACTGTACCCAGCCCACAGATATTTATTGAACACTGACTATCTGCCACGCCCAGGGCAGGGACACATGGTGAGTTATACTTGGTCCCTAACTTTGGAAAACTTGGAGACTTACAGTCTACAGATGAGAAGCTAAGACTGAAATTGAGAGGCTTAAGGACTGGTCTGCCTTGGCACATGGCTAATAAGTGTTTGAACTCAGGTCAGCCTGATTCTAAAGCCCCGTTAGTTTTATAGCAACCTACCTCTCCTAAAATACCCAGGACTTTGTGTTTATAGAGAGCAGGATCATTGATGATTCAGCTATGTAAGCCCCATAAAAGCACAGAGCCCCATCTCTAAAAGTAGCAGCAGTTAACATTTTGTGTGTGTGTGTGTGTATTTAGTAGAGACAGAGTTTTACCATGTTGGCCAGGATGGTCTCGATCTTCTGACCTTAAGATCCACCTGCCTCAGCCTCCCAAAGTGCTGGGATTACAGGCATGAGCCACTGTACCTGGCCAGCAGTTAACATTTCTAATACTCCCTGAGCACTGTTTTTTTGTTTGTTTTTTACCAGACACTGTATCTCATTTACGCCTCACTACAGAAAGGCCAGAGGATGAGGAAGGATTTGATGAGCCCTGAGCCACTGGATTGCACAGACTCAGGGCTTCTGCTGTGCACATACCCACCTTTCAGGTCTGATGGCTGTTCTGTGTACACAGGATATCTCTATACAGAACTGTAACCAGAGCAATGGGACCCTTCCTTTCTGTTTAGGACCTGGATGTGCAGCTCAAGGAGGCTCGACAGGAGAATTCAGAGTTGAAAAGCACTGCAAAAAAACTTGGGGAGAAGCTGGCTGCTGCCAAAGACAGAATGATGCTGCGGGAGTGTCATGGGACGCAGAAGACAGGTAAGATGCCCTGGGATGATTTCCTTAAAAGACCAGGGTTAGCTGCCAGGTGGGCCTGGTGCTACTGGCAGCCTTGAGCCTGCTAAGGGAGCAGAGAGGAGGGCCAGGGCTTCTTGATCTGACCTGCCTGGTGCATGAGACCAATCCCTGCTGGGTACAGGTGAGCTGACACCTACAGCTGCCTTGCCTGGAGCTAGCCCAGGCTGGACATCTAAAAGGACTACTTGCCCCAGAATTTTTCCCCACCAGACTCACCACAGTGCCTGAAATTCTTAGCACTGACTCATCCCACCCCCTACCACTTAACACAATGCTTTATGCTTTTCACGTCATTTAACACAATTATGCTATTGGGCCTTTTCAATAATTTTGGGTGATAAGTATTGTCAGTCTGGTTGGGCGGACTGATGGTGGCTCATGCCTGTAATCCCAGCACTTTAGGAGGCTTAGGAGGGAGGGCCACTTCGGCCCAGGACTTTGAGATCAGCCTGGGCAACATGAGACCCCATCTCTATGAAAAAATAAAAATTAAAAAATTAAGTACAGGCTAGGCATGGTGGCTCATGCCTGTAATCCCAGCACTTTGGGAGGCCAAGGCAGGTGAATCACCTGAGGTCAGGAGTTTGAGATCAGCCTGGCAAACATGGTGAAACCCTAAAAATACAAAAATACAAAAAAATACAAAAAATATAAAATTAGTTAACATTTTTGTGTGTGTGTGTATTTAGTAGAGACAGAGTTTTACCATGTTGGCCAGGATGGTCTCGCTCTTCTGACCTCTAGATCCACCTGCCTTGGCCTCCCAAAGTGCTGGGATTACAAGCATGAGCCACTACACCTGCCTAAAAATACAAAAAATTTAGCCAGAGCATGGTGGCGTGTGCCTGTAATCCCAGCTACTTGGGAGGCTGAGGTAGGAGACTCGCTTGAGTCCTGGAGGCAGAGGTTGCAGTGAGCTGAGACTGCGCCATTGCACTCTGGCCTGGGCAACAACAATGAAACTCCATCTCAAAAATAATAATAATAATAGTAACACAAAGTATTGTCTCGAAATTTTGGGCTCAAGTGATCCTCCCACCTTGGCCTCCCAAAGTGCTAGGATTACAGGCGTTAGCCACCACACCCAGCCCAAAAAGTATTGCCAATCTTTCACGTTACAGATGAAGAAATGCGACCAAGAAAGGATAAGTGCCTGGCTCAAGTCAGCCAATTGGTTGGTGATACAATCTTGCTTATATCCAAAAATACATGATTCTAAGTGCCTTCCCCTAGGCCCCCTCAACAGAAAGCTCTTGACACTGGGAAATATAACAAAGGCATAAAACATGGGAGCTGCCTTCAGGGAGTTCATAGGACTGTACATTACAGCCCACTGCATGCTTTGGTATCAAAGGCAGCAGATAAATAATGTGCATGAGAAAGAAGTCACCATGGGCCAGAAAGGTGCAGAGAAGGAGGTCCTGGTTCTGGAGAAACCGGGAAGGTGTTGTGGGTTTAGAGCAGAAGTCTCAAAAGTAGGACATGAGAACTTCAGTGAATATGGGAGGAAAACTTAGTAATTCTGCTTATATTAAATATTTGTTATTGTTTCATCCTTTAAATTCCTATTAAAAGAACATGTATTGGCCGGGTGCGGTGGCTCACGCCTGTAATCCCAGCACTTTGGGAGGCCGAGGCGGGTGGATCACGAGGTCAAGAGATCGAGACCATCCTGGTCAACATGGTGAAACCCCGTCTCTACTAAAAATACAAAAAATCAGCTGGGCATGGTGGTGCGTGCCTGTAATCCCAGCTACTCAGGAGGCTGAGGCAGGAGAATTGCGTGAACCCAGGAGGCGGAGGTTGCGGTGAGCCGAGATCACGCCATTGCACTCCAGCCTGGGTAACAAGAGCGAAACTCCGTCTAAAAAAAAAAAAAAAAAAGAACATGTATTTAGAATGCTCAATTTTTTTAACCAATGGAAACTGCAGTCAAAAAGATTTGGAGATTATTTAGGAAGGGAGAACAGGGCAGCTATTTAAGTTCATGAGGCTTCTTGAGATGAGAATTGCTACCTTAACCATGCTTCAGGGCCAGCAGACCACAGGGCAGGAATTACACAGGGGACGCTGGACAAAGTGTTTGAAAAGCAGAACTGGGACCTGACAGCAGAAAGCCTTGAACAAGAGGCCATGGCCAAGAACATTCCAAATAATGTTGAAATGTCTACTTGCAGATGACATGAAGACTGAGCTAGTTTCAGAGAATGAAGTCCTGGGGGAAGAGAATGACTTGGAAACCCACAATCTTCATCCTCAGCAGGATCAAAGCCATCCCAAGGAGTGTCCTTGCATGAAAGGAAGCACAGACACACAGGTAGTGTCTGACCCAGCCCTGGGGATGGAGAAGGCAGAGGGAGCTTTGCTATCTATCATAAGCATCAGGTAGAGGCCGGTCCAAACATAGTGGATCCACTTGGAGTCAGCAGACCCCACAGTTTCAGGAGTAAAATTCCAGCCAACTTACTGCCTACTCCATGCCATTAGAAACCAGGAGACTGAGAATGCAGCAGAATCCTCCCAACGCTGTATCATCGGCTTCTGCGAAACTGGAAACTGGTTTAGGATCTCATTGCATGTTCCCAGTCAAAACAAGCAAAGCATTATTTAAAAGCTACCATAGTATGGGCTGAAATATCCCATCTCATGATAACATATGCACCCTTCCAAAAATCCCTTTTCCAATGGTAGAGACTCTTACTAACATCAAATATATAGTCTTGTAAAATTGATTGCACCTTGTGCTACATGCTGTAAAAACAGTATGTAAATGTTGTAAACATTGCATGAAAGAGAAATGGTGATTCCCTGCTCCTCACCCCTCCCTAGCAGTTTTACAAGGTCCTTTTTCTTTTTATAGACCAAGAAAGAAGCAAGTGTTGAGACAGAATATATGAAGCAACAATATGAAGAAGACCTCCGTAAAATCAAACATCAGACAGAAGAGGAGAAGAAACATCTTAAAGACCAGCTGGTGAAGCGGCTGGAAGACTTGGTAAAGAATCACACCATGGAAATCAAATCAGTTCGCTCGTCCGTGGAGGCTGAAAGAAAGAAACTGCAGAAGGTGAGATCTACTTCCATAGAGACTGGGCTGGTTCCTTTTTCTTTCTCCCACCTCCTTCTTTTCCTTTTTTCTTCCTTCTTCCTCAAACATTCACTGAGCTCCTGCTATGTACAAATGTAAGCTTGCTCTCTGAATATACACAGATGAAAGATACAGACCCTGTCCGAAGGCAGTTCAAGGTCTTTTGGAGGAGATGGGGGACAGCCCTAAGGGCCTGCAGTCATTGACATGGGGTGGAATTGTGTCATGAGTGGTGAATGTAGGAAAATTCAACTCTACTTACTCTGCAAAAACATACAGAGAATACCATGAACCAAAAACTCAGGCCTGGAGGACTTCCTGGATCTAACGCCCCACCCTACCACCACACTGGGAGCGATATAACCTGGGTCCCCACAGAGGGAAATTCCACATGCCTCGGGATCCTAATTTGTAAAATGGGGGACAATAATAGCACCTCACAGATTAGCTGCAAGGATTCAATGAGGGAACCACGTGGAGACACAAGGCATATCCTAGTGCCTAGGACAGGTGGGCAGCAGGTCAATGCCGGTAATTAATCAGCAGCATGCCAAAGGAGGGAAAATTCTGTCTCTTGTGCTGTTCTGCTCTCCCTCCAAACAGGGTGGCTTTCAGCTGGCAAGGCATGCAAAACCTCATCTCTTGTGTTTGCTGGAATAAGTAAACAACATATGTGAAGATTTCGGAAAAGAATAAAGTGTGAAGCAATGTCATTGTGAATGCAGGTGGATTGCTTTGTTTAATTATTACAAGGAGGCCTCTTTATAACCCGAGATTCTGTAGTACCAGCTTTGAGTGTTCACTGAATGACAATCCTATATCACTGGGGCACGCTCTGTTGTGTGGGGCTTAGGAGTAGTAAATACTCAAGAAATACATGTTAAATGAACTCGTGAAAGAGCAAGACTAGTCTCGGATCTAAGTACTGACTCTAACACAAGCTGTGTGACTGGAGACAGGTCATGTAACCTCTCTGAAGCCTAATTTCTGTGTTTTTTTTTTTTTTTTTTGGAGTCTTGCTCTGTGCCCAGGCTGGAATGCACTGGTGCGATCTCAGCTCACTGCAACCTCCACCTCCTGGGTTGTTCAGGAGATTCTCCAGCTCCAGCCTCCCAAGTAGCTGCGACTACAGGCCTGCGCCACCACGTTGGGCTAATTTTTATATTTTTTATAGAGATGGGGTTTCACCGTGTTAGCCAGGCTGGTCTCGAACTCCCGACCTCAGGTGATCTGTC